AGACAGGACTCCAAAGTGAGGACCAGCAAGTTTTCTCCGATCACAGGGGGGTGACCTCCACCTTCAGGACACAGTGGCAGGCAGGAGGGCAGTCGTATGGGATTTCCCCTGATGGACTCTTATTTCCATCTGCTCACTGTAGGACTCTGGGAGTTGGTGCCTGCCATTCTAAGCTTGCTGCCACTCCTTTAAACACACCTGCCCAGGTGCATCTTATGGAGACGCTGGGACCAGGGCCTTACGTCCTGGGGCGTCGATTGCCCAGAACAGCTCCCAGGGTGGGAGGGAGTTATCACCAAGAGTATGTGGAGGCTGGGGGCGGGTCCCCTCTGTGTCATCTCAGCCAGGTGAGGAGCTTTCCTTTCACAGCACCATTCATGTCTGCCCAGGTGGGAGGCTGCCCTCTGCACTGATGGCTTATTGGTGTTCCTGGCTGTTGAAAAAGGAGGTGGCCCACGGGGGGTGGGTCGGATGAGCTGAGTACAGGAGCCACTCCTAGGTGATCGATGGGTGAGGCAGCAGCTCTGGAAGACACAGAGCTCCCCATGGCTAGAAGGATCCCAGCAGAGGCTACACAGAAATCAGCACTCTGCCGTGCTGATTGTGGACAGTGCTGTGCAGTGGTCAGCTACGCACTCTCTTCTCCCGGCTCTGCAGTGCCTGTGGTCACTGGGTCTTCTTTTCATTCCATAGAAAAGGCTCAGGGAGGAGATGTGGGTAACCTGAAGTCACACAGAGTCAGAATGAGGTCAAGGCAAATGTCAAACCGAGGTCTGGAAGGCCCCAAATCCTAAGGTGGGCGTTACGGTTTGGATCTGGAATGGCTGCCAAAGGCTCACGTGTTAAAGGCTGAGTCCCCAGCTTGGCGTGTGGTGGAAACTTTAAGGGGTGTGGCCTAGTTGAAAATTTTGTTTCATTGGGGGTATCTCTGCAAAGAGGTGGGACATATGTGCTTCTGGTAAAGAGGTAAGCAGCCTTGTTCCATTGGGTGCTCTCCACCATGATGTGCTGACTCACCACAGCCCCAAAGCAACAAGGCCAATTGATCATAGACCGAAGCCTCTGAAACCATGAGTTCATATAAACCTTTCCTCTTTTTAAGGTGATTTTCTCAGGTATTTTGTCACAGTGATGAAAAGCTGAGTCACACAGCAGGGATCCCTCTCAAGTGTGATCCCCATGCTCATGACGTAGATTTGGAGCCAGTGTAAAGTCATTTCACATCCCACAGTACAAATATTTTGGTGCCTTTCATCCTACATGTAATTTAAAATAAAAACAATCCTAAATGCTAAGATAAGGATAAAGAAGTTCAATAAAGTTGAATCCTCTACCACCACCATGCTGCCCTTTTTTTCCCCTAAAAATAATCCAAAACAAACAAACAAAAAACCCTACCCATCTTTCTTTCACTTCTCTATTCTACTCCCTCTTATTTTGAGTACTTGCCTTTTTTGAAGCTCTAATTATGGCTTAATCTCTGACCAGGTAAATGATATCACATATAAGATTTATCTTGGTGATGGCTTTTAATCCAACCCCAAAGTTGGATAAAATCACACCAAATCCCCTTCCAACTCAAGGAGCCTGGGATTCTATCATTTCAAAGTCAGCAAGCCGCATTGGTTCATCCCATGACCATGTCTGAGGCCCTGAGAACACTGTAAATGCTCATTAAAATATTTTTCTTGTGGGAAAAATGGGAGAAAGAAATATTGTGAGAAAAGACAAAATTGCAAGCACAAATATCGGCTGACACTTTGGAAGTAAGGTTACCAGTAAGACAATGTGCTTCATTTCACATGTAAATTTGCCAAGAAATAAGCACAATTTAAGCTAAATGGACTTGTACGGCAAAGAAAAGAATTAGTGAAAAATTCTACCCAGTTTGCCTGTTTGGATTTGCTCCATAGAACGATATGTTTCAGAGGCTAAATAATCATCTGATACATTTTGAATGGCATGTTATGTATAGGGGCAAAATGAGGGTGTTTGGGGGACTATGTTTCATCCATAAAGAATACGTTTCCTAATGTTATCACTTGGATTGCACAGAATAGTTCCCACACGGCCATCCCTTCTCTTACACGGGGGGTCCTGATTTCATTGGGTGGCTACAGCTCAGAAATTTGAGATTGTAACTAACATTTGCTGATTCTTGGCGGTTGGAAATTTGCTCTCCTTCTCCCCCTGGGGGAGATTCTGTGGGCATCTTACAAATTGGTTCAAGATAAAATTGAGAAGGAAATCAGAAGATGCAACAGCAAAGTGCGTCCTTTTCTGAAGCTAAATGCTTCCAGAAAGAAGTGGATTTGGGTTTTCCTCTGGCTGGCTTTTATGGGTGGAAAAGGCTCTGAATGAATGGTGAGCCCTTAATGTGCTGGGCTTTGGGTCACAAGGACTGATCTCCTTGACCACGAGCTCTAAGAGGCAGGAGCTGCGTCTGCTCACTGTTGAATCTCTGTCCCTTAGCACTGAGTCTAAGGCGCAGTAGCGCTCAGGAAATGTTCACTCAACCAACGATGGATAAAAAGGATGGCTCCCTCAAAGGTTCTATCAGAGTTTCCCAGAAATTTAAATGAAAGATCAATAGGAGAAGCATGCACGTCCCTGGGAGAAAGACAGTTCTAACAGAAGGACAACCCTGAAGCCCCTCTCCAGGGCTAACGTCTGCTCAGTTAAGGTGTCTGGATTCTGGTCTCAGCCCTTACTAGGTCCCTTTCTAAAAGAATTGGTCACAAAGAAGGCTTAAGCTAAAAGGGAAGCAAACTTATAGTCTCCAGGGTCCCTGAATGTTAATACACAAAGCAACTTTGGCGATTTGAAGGCTCTTCACTTTTCACAGTCTTAAACCTACGCAGCCCCTTCCATTCATGCTGCTGAAACTTGACCCAGAAAACGGACTTCTTCAGGAGCTCGAAACCAACCTCTGGCTTCATCGCTATGAATCCCAGCAGAGGGAGATAAAGCATAAAAAATCCAGCTCCACATTCAGCTTACTGGCAGACCCCGTGCCCCCCGTCTTGCTGTTTCCAGGTGTTCCATAGGCAAGACATCTGGTGGCAGCCTTAACTTTTATTTTAGGTCACGTTGCCATTGTAAGGATGCAGCATCAAGGGCGTGACTCCCACAGGCTCCGTGGGTGTCTCCAAAGCCTCATCCTCCAGGATCGAGAAGCTGGTGATAGAGTGGACTTCGTGAGAAAAGCAAATTCTGTTACACCTTGAGTGAAGGCCCTTCAGGGTCCAGAGCCTAGGAGATCAAGTTCGTAGTGAAACTGTCGCCATTAACAAAACTTCATTTCCATCCCAATGAGCCAGATGGCCTCTATCCAAATGTGGATTTGTGCACAGGCAAACTCAAACATTGAGATGTTGAGAAAGCAACTGTGCAAGCCAATACTGGTCCTAACTGTACCTCTAAGAGGTCAGAGAGAGACTCCAGGGCACTTGTCTCCTAGTGTCTTGGTCTGTTTGAGCTGCTATACCCAATGCCATAAACAGAGTGGCATAGAAACAATAGGAATTTATTTCTCACAGTTCTGATCTGAAAAGTCCAAGATCAAGGCAGCAGCAGATATAGCATCTGGCAAGGTCCTGCTTTCTGATTCACAGGTGGAGGAAGGAGGGCAGGGATCTCTCTGTTTTATAATCTCATCTCCTTAGTTCTCCACCTCCAAATACCCTCGTATCAAGTGTTAGGTCTCAACATGTAAACTGGGGGAGGGGACACACAAGCACTCAGTCCCTGGCACCCGTTCACTCTCCGGGTACCTTTTGCCGGTGCTTGCTCTCCACTCGTGCTTTGGTTCCACAGCATATTCTTTCTGGTTCCAGTGGTCAGTGGGGCTCATGAGTCAGATGCATCACTTTGCTCACAGAAGTCCAGAATGGAGGTTGCTGTCCTGTCTCTGGAGGAGACCCAGCAGGGATGAGGGAGATTTCCATGAGCTTTTTCTAGCTCCCTGGGTGTGTGTCTACCTCCCATTCCTGGGACTAAAGAAGGCATCATCCCTTGCTTTCATTTGATCTTTTCGTTTGTCCTGAAAGCCAAGAGGCACCAAGGTCCAGGAGGAAGGATAAAGAGGCATAGCGAGCCCCTGAGTCCCTGGATCACCGGTACCACCTCCTCTGCAATGGTCCCCATCCTACTGGGGGTTTCACTAAAAGCTTCGCCCTCAGCATTGCCGCGAGGCAGTGGCTTCGGATTATCTTTTGTGCATATTTGATTCCTCCTTCCACAGGAGCAAAGAGAGGAGTACGAAGTTGCTCCTTCAGTCTCTTAGGTACGTTTAAAGGACTTAGAGAGCTTCAGCAAGCTGAGGTCTAGTGAGAAGCCACTGTTCCAAGTCTCCTAGATTCTCCAAAGCCCCGAGGTTATGACTCAACATTAGGCACAGGGACTCCTCAGAAGCTTCCAGAATTGGCTTTGTTAAAAGAGACAGACTTTCTCATCTCTTCTCTGAGTTTTGACCGTTTGGTTTTGACACGTGCTGGTAATAGATTCCATTTCTTGGTTTTTCCTAAAGAGAGAATCTGGTTGGGTCTCTCCTGTCCATCAGTGTAAGTCAGAGGACAGAGCAGGCGGCCTAGACCATGGCCTCTGGGTGAGGCTGAACATAGGCAGGTGTCAAAAGTGCTGGGTCTAGCACAGGGTGTGAATAGATGGTTTGGGGGGTCTGTGTCCTATTCCCTACCCCCACCCCCAGTCTCCTTGGAAGCCACTGACTTTTGCTCTGAGAAGGACATCTGAGCGGACATTGGCTTCTTCCTCCCTGGGGCCCCAGTTGCCTCTCTGGGGCCTGTGAACTGCCAAGGGCACCCTTTTGTTTTGGGTCTATGAGCTCATGCCCCAAGTGGGATGGCTTCTGGAACCACCAGGGGTCCTCCAGGCCTGCCCCTGCTCTTCAGCACCCCCAAGCAGGTCCCGTTGTGGGGCTGGGGTGTGAAAGAGATGCCACCTCACCATCTGGAGGAGGTAGAAGGAGAAGCAGGCAGGTGTGGGGTATGAAAGCCTTTGTCATTTTATTTTACAATAAAAAATTCTAACAGCATATGAACACTCTGTTCCCGGCAGAGGCAAAGGACGTACAAAGTTAATTAGAAAGCAAAGCATTAAAATAACAACAGCTACATTCAAAGCTTCTGCTCAGTACTTTGCCCAATGTGTCTAACGTGATTGGAAAGAATCACAGTCTGGGCTTTGCACCCAGAGTGAAAGCACACATACACGTACTTACACAAACTTACACACCCTCCAACTCCACACGGGGCTGGCTTTTGTGAGCAATTCCAAACTTAGGAATTTCTTTATTTTTCCTTAAGTCTTGTCATGGAACCCATGATAATAAAACTCCATTCAGTGGTTGGAGGAGCTGAACTATTTTGCTGGATAAAACTGAACTGTGAAGCTAATACTTTAGTGGGAATTCCTTCAAATATATTTCTCAAACCATTTTCAGATACTTTTTTTTTTAGGGCTGAACTCAGAGGCACTCAATCACTGAGCCACATCCCCAGCCCTATTTTGTATTTTATTTAAATCAGGATCTCACTGAGTTGCTTAGCTCCTCACTGTTGCTGAGGCTGGCTTTGAACTCGTGATTCTCCTGACTCAGTCTCGTGAGCCACCGGGATTACAGGCATGAGCCACCATGCCCAGACATTTTTCAGATACATTATTCTATGGGTTCCTCACAACCAGCACGGGAGGTAGGAAGTACAGATGTTATACCCTTTTGATAGATGAGGAATTAAAGACAAATTCAAAGTGAGTTGCTTGAAGTCTAGAATATTTACATCTCTTTAAAATTCCCAGTCCATTGATACTCCTCTGATTCTCTTGGGTACAATTTTTTTTTCTCCACTCAAATTGTGTAGGGGGGTGGAGGTGAGTTTAGACAGAAGGAAAAGTTGAGGAAAAGTAAGGCGAGCCCAGGGTTAATTTATGTAAAATACATCAATGGCCTCCCTCCATGATTTACAAAAGTCTGTAACCAAGGTCAGAGAATGAAAATAATCAATATCTAGATTTTATTGTATAATGGCTCTCACTAAAGTATGGGTCTGACCTTTGGAGACAAATTCTGCCTCACTAAAGATTTCTTTATCTTTAAAACCTGCAGAACCAAAGTGACTCAATATCTCCTAAGAGAATTTGTTTCTGGCACAATTATATTTCCTAAATATTCCTTCTCAGAAACACCCTACATTTTAGTATTTATCAATTAGCATTTTTTTCCCTCTGTAGTGCTGGGGATTGAACCCAGGGCCTTGTGCATGCAAGGCAAGCACTCTACCATCTGAGCTATATCCCCAGCCCACAATGGTCTAGCATTCTGTAACAGTTCACCTAAGAAATCAAGAGACCTTTCAATTCTCAGGACACTAACTTATTATATCCAGAAGGTCAGAGCCACTATAATATCAGTTTCACTTGAAACCAATTTTGTTTCAAAAGACTCTATTGAGAGGCTCATTGGTTTTCTCATCCATGCAAGTGTGTGGCCATGAGCCACGTTAATAGCACCTGAGCTAAGATCATGCAATTCAATTTTACAAGTATTTATTGTCTGCTGAGAAAGACATTGTGCTAACTGGGCCTTGGTCAGAAATCCCTTCTTAGGCCCAGCAGCAGTATTCAGTAACTGGTGTTGGGGTCAGAGCGGCCAGGGCAGTTCAGGCCAGTCTACTAGGGTCCCAAGTGGATGTACTCTCACCTGATAGGCAAGTGAGAATGCTCTTTCTCTCTTTGGCAGCATCCATAGGGATTGCCCTCTGAATACTGCCTTCTCTGTAGCATTCTAGCAGGACTCGTCATTTCCATTTCCCTTAGAAGATCCTGCCCAGTCATACTCCTTCCTTTGGGTACTAATCCTCCCCACCTCTAAACTCCCCTTGAAAGGGTCAACCCAGGAAGCCATACTTGTATGACAGGACCTGGACTCTCAGTCATGGCTGATTGGATAGGCAGGCACCTGACCCCAAGGAGGCTCACCCAGAGCCAGATGAACTGGGCCAATCAGATTCTTCAGAATTTACCTTCGAGGCCACAGAGATGCTAGTCAGAGGGGTGGGCTCTGGGAAGGAAGAAAAGGCCAAGTAGTGTGGGTCCTGGGGTGGGTTCGTTAGCTACATATTTGCTAATGAGTATGCCACGGGAAGCACGAGATCCGAGCAGATGTGCAGAGAGAAACGGATGAGCTCCATGAGGAGAGACCCTGAAGGAGCAAGAGCGTGTGCGCCAGGGCGGCTGCCTCCATCCCTTGCCGCCAGGGAGCTGCGTTTAGTGAAATGTTCCTGAATTCTTTCAGTCAACGTCCACATTGTGCGAGTGTAAATGGGTTTCTCGTCCCTGCAAAATTCCTTGACCAGAATACTTCTGAGGTTGGACTGAAGGGCAGAATTTAACTTGCAATACGTAGACCCCACTCAGTCCCTATTCCAAGCCAAATTATTATCCTTCTTTAAAGTCTTTAGCTGTATTTTGTGGGGGAACTCCAAATTATTTTCTGGTGTGTGGTAGGAGGAATTTAGGGTTAAGTTCAGATCCTGTCATCAAACTTTAAAAAATGCACTCATTGAACTTTGAGCACCTGTGTGCTACGTAGAAAAAAAAAAAGAAGCTCATTTATATGTAATTAGTATTAATTGGTATTAAAAGTTTTGATCCACTTCTCCAATTTCTGCCTTAAAGTTAGAAAAGCATTTCTTTCAGAAGGTATTTAGATTTCTCGCCCCTTCTATTCTACAGGCTCTCTCTCAGAAGAGCTTTTTTCTTTTTTTTTTTTTTAAATAATATATCAAATGATTTCATTTCTTCCATCAAGATTATTCAGAAACTACATGCCCTTTTGCTGGATTCTTAAAATAACAAACGCACAAGATAACTCCTCCCCGGAATAGAGAATTGATTCTTATATAATCCACCCTTGAAGAGGCAGCTCTTCCCCACAGGTAACAGTTGCTGTCTTGTTATTGCACATGCCTCAGATCACAGGTGCCAGGCCACACAATAGACCTCTGTGTTCCTGCACCTCTGGATTGCCTCCCCAGATGCAGAGCACAGCATCTGCTATCTCACAATGACAAGCTGTCAGTGCTCTCCTGCCTGTGCCAAGATAAGAATTCACACACCCCCTCCCCACCCCAGTTCTGAACAAGAGTGGAGGACACCATTTCCTGGATAGGACTCTCTGGGGGAAAGCCAAAATGCATTTCTTTTTCATGAATGCAGAAAAACTTGCATCAAAACCAATGCTGAGAAAATGTTTATTAGGCCCCAAAGGTATTGTCCTCTGTATCCAAAGAACTGTATCCAAAGTTCCTGACATACTCCACCATATGTTGCCTTGGCAAGAACATTAAGAAGTCCCTCATAGGACCCTTGTCTATTTTTGAAACTTGCAGGCACAAAGGAATGTGTCGCCGATGTGTGCAGGCAGCATGGAAGATGGAGAGCAAGTTGGATGGTGAATCCTCCAGGCCAGTTCCTCCACCCGTCCAGACTTCCTCCTCCAAGTCATGGAGGTCGTTATGGCTTCTGCGTCTGCCTGGAGGATCACGATGAACACGGAGGTCACTGCTGCCTCCTCTGAGCTCTCACGGAATCCTATTTTTACCTCCATGAGGCACTTTTGACTAACTGTCTTTTCTCAGAGTCACCTGGCCAGGCACCTGTCATCTCCATAAGGTTAGGAGACTCTTCAGAGAAGGGACCACATCTTAGTCTCAGAAAACCACCCAATGACTCTGCTTCCCCATTGGTGGGAAAACATGAACAGATTTCTTTTCAATGTAAGTTTTTCCTTTCAAAGATTTTTTCTTGAACCCATGACATCTGATTTAAGTGAGTGTCTGATATAGCACACTATATTTGAAGTTTTCTCAAGCGTTTCAAGTGGGGACCACCTGTTTCTGCAAAGACTGTGATATCTAGAGCTTCATCCCCTTAGCCATCTGGAGTCACACCACTGCAAACTATAGATTTATGGTCTGTGTGTCACTGGAACATCCAAAGCTCAGACACTGTCTTTTGAAACATGTACATATATTTCAATGACACTCAGGTCTTGAAATTTCATTTTTGCATACAGTATTTCCAGGCATTTACCAAGCAGACAAAGTACTGGGTTAATATCATTGCACTGATGAAATATTGATATTATTGATAAAGCAGGACAATGTAGCTGATTTTATCAGACTCATACCATTTGCATGAAAAGGCTGAGTTTCTTTGGCTCTTTGTTCATTCAAGTGCATTGGATGCCTATTTGGATAGCCTTAGGCATCGTGTGAATCTGTCAGTAAAATCTCGCACTGTCCACAGTGTTCTGCAAGCTGACTTAGGTTTTGGACTACAACAACTGGCCATTGGTAGAAATATACCATATATACAACGTGGAAATTACAAAAATACATTTTATTTATAGCTGATTTCTTTTTAAGTAACAAAAAACTAACACTATGAAAGATCTACCAGCATACTAAAAGGACACTACCTAATATCATCCGAACAAGAGTCTTGTTTGGGGAATTCCATGACACATCATCTCTAAACAAGGGCTATTTGCCATGGGGAAATAAAAACAGCTTCTTGGAAAAGCCTGTGCTTTGACAGCTTGAATCTCCCATTCAAATATGGTTCTGTTCCTACTCTTCCTCGACTTTTCTATTTTCACCTGCTTCTTTCAGTAAAGACCAAAGAAACTCATGAGGACAATGGGAAGGTGGGCTCAGAAGGGAATGGGCAAGCTGAAGCTGATGGATCATGGGTAAAGGCAGGACAGGACCTCGTTCTCCAACAGACACCAAGCAAGCCCCCAACACCATACGTGGCTCCCAAAGTCAGGCAGGGAGCCTAGTGCCCCTGGTCCCTCTGTGACCCACAGTCAGTAGCTATCTTGCTTGCATGACAGGTAATCAGTGGTTGGCACCCAGTGCTGTGGGCGAAGTCTTCCACCCAGAGGTCTGGAGATCAACATCTCCATGCCAGGGAGGGTGACACGGAACGTCCTGGTCACAAGGTAGGACCCCTGTCACTTCAGCAAGTGTCTTCCTACATCCATCAGCTATGGAGAACTGGTGAACTCCACACACTTTGTAAAAAGTTATTTATGTTGAAACTCCTATCAACAGATTTCCTATATTTGGAAGCTTCTATAAACAGAGGCCGCGGCCTGGGACGACTGTGAGGTTACGACTCGAGTTTCTAACAGGAATCGGTGACTATTTCCTTTTGCACCATTCGGCAGCACATGCTGGCAGCACATCGCTGTTGAAGAGAGAAGATTTTCTTGGAAAAGTCAATGCATCTATTATCCCCCCCAAAGACAGAAGCTCTGTTCTTGTGCCACCTTCAAAGCCGGCAAAAGAAAACCCTCCACAAGTAATGTTTTTCTTTTGTAGGACCCTAAAAGCTCTTGGCACTGATTTCTCTCTTTCCATTAGATCCCAACTTGGAGGGTACTCTATTTCCAAAATGACAACACCTTTTAAAAACTCTGTCAACACGAATCCACCCTTCCTGCTCATCTTCTCTCTTTCCCCACCTTGAATTCACAGGGAAGAAAGAGATCACGGCTATTTATAGGCATAGCCACTGGTACTGATTTTCATCCAATTCATTTGACTTTGAATCTGAGCCTTTAAAAGCAAAGGGACTCAAGTTTCTTGGCTGGAGTCGGTGTCTCCCTTACAGGCTAGAGATGACGTTAGTGATCATGGTCGTGGCTGAGTGAGAGAGTACAGGCTGGTGCTTAATTCACACTCCTACATTGCCTTTAACACGGAAAGAGTTAACATGCAGAGGTCACCGAAGATAGAGCTGGGTTCTCCCCCTTCTGGTGATTTATTAAAATGTAGCATTGGACAGGAATCTGTACATTAGCTAGTGCCTCTTATGACTAAGGCTCCTTAGAGAAATAGACCCTAAGGATGATTCAAACACTCGGCCTAACAGAGTATCACTCACATGGTCCCAAGCAGGGACGTCTTGACCCACCGTCAGTTGCACAAACCAAGAATCCAGGCGTTCACGAACGTCCTCTGTTTCTCAGAAGCCCCCCTGTTCACCTTTGCTGAGGGTGAGATTCACCCATTGTCCATGTCTCAAGTCCCCACACATTGGGTGTGAGTGACCCAAAGCCTGCTTCCTTGGAGTCTAGAAGTGCAGAGTCCCACGGGGCCAAGGCATTAGACCTGGAACTCAAACATGTCCGTCTGCTTCTTGGCCAGCTTGGCCACCTCCTCGCGGATGGCCTTCACCAGGGCCGCGGTGGAGATGTTGGTCAGCGGGGTGTCAGGCGGGTCGTTCTCTGCCAGGCTCTGCTGCGAGGCCGCTGCGGAGGCCACGGGGGCCTGCTCCAGGCTGGGGTGCAGGTTGGTGGGCTGGCTGTACTGGCGGGGAAGCCTGGAGGGCGAGCTCTGCTGATACCGGGACCGGGGGTAGGCCTCGATGTACCCGGGGAGGGGGACCTGTGGAGGACGTTGGGAGAGAAGAGAAGGGCCTGGGGTTAGGAGGGAGCTCAAGTCACAGGACACGCTGGGCACTGGAAGCAGGAGGGGACTGAGGACAAAGAAAGGGGTTTAAAAGAAAACAGAAAATGGAAGCCAAGTTCCACTGTCCGGATACAAGATCTAGAGTGCGTTTAGAAAACAGGTCATTTGGACTCACTGAATATGCTGGTTGGATGAATTAAATAGGTGTTTTAAATCTTGCTGAAAACATTAGGACTACATCTGAGTCTCTGTCTGAACCTCCTGGTTTCCTTATTAATTTAAGTATAATCCAGTCACTAGAACTATTGCTTGGGAGTGCAGGGGTTCCTTCTCTATAATAGCTACAAATCCTGGAACCCTGTGCCAAGGGATCTCCACACATTATCTCATTTAATTCTCAGCAGCAGCCCAGGAGGTGGGTACTGTTATCCTTATTTAACAGGTGAGAATACCGAAGCAAAGTGTGTCCCCAGTTTAAAGTGGCAAAAGCCAGAAAGCCGCTGGGGCATGCTTTGCACAGCCGCATCTGGCTCCAAGGGCTGGGAATTAAACCCTGCACTATGGTGTCTAGGATCCAGGATATGATCTAGTTTCCTGAAAAAAAAAATGTTTTCTTTTCATTTAAAAATGAAAGACACCATTGTTCTATACTTAAATACATGGAAACTCTTAGGAATAAGGACAAGGCAAGGACATGGAATTCAGAAGTGACTCTTCCACAGAAAGGGTGCCACAGTTGGAGATGTTGTTCTAGGCTAGTCCACAGAGAGCTTCATGTTCCATAATGCTGGCTGGGTCACTGCAGAATGAGTGACACTGCTGCCACAGCATAGGGTGCTGTGGGGAAGGGGGCATGTGTGGGCGGCTCTCTGGGAAAGGCCACAGGGGGCAGTGTACTTCCAGGAAGATGGAACAGGGAAAAGCAAGTTCAAAGGCATGGGGGTGAGGAGGGGTGCAGGGAGGTCAATGACCCCCAGGGAGGTCCAGGTCCAAAAGCCACTGAATGCCGGACCATGACGTTGAGCTTCCCTGGTGCTTCTGCCTATTTTCTGTATCACACTTCTGAGGAACACAACCCGTTCCCATTCGAAACAGACACGCTCCTCTGGGCGCTGGGTGAAGATGGAGCCGGATGGCTGCCTCAGTCTGTTTGGCTGTTATAACAAAATCTCACAAACAGAAGTGTCTAGAAACCACAGAAACTTATTTCTCACAGTTCTGAAGGCTGGAAAGTCCAAGAGCTAGGCACTGGCAGATTCCATGTCTGGAGAGGGCTGCTTCCTGGGACATAGACAAAGGATCTTTGCACTTTCATGTGGCAGAGGGTGAGGGCTCTCTCTTATAATCCCCTCCGCATGGGCTCCACCCTTGTGATCTCATCACCTCCTGTGTCGCCCCTTTGTCACCTTGGGGTGATAGGATTCTACTTTTCAATTCGAAGAAGAGGACACAGACTTTCAGACCATAGCAAAGGGGTTGGGTGATGAATCGGAAATTTTGGATGAGGGAATATATGGTGGGAAAGCAGCGCCCTCTCTTCCCTGCTGGAAGTTCTGATGACCCCTACCAAGAACGCCCGCTTCTAAGACGCACAGCTGACCCTGGCGTGGGAACCACTGCTGGGTGTCAGGCAGAGGGGGAGTCTGTGCTTTGGGAAGGACACTCTGGGGAGGATCCGCTGGGGGTGATGCGTTCTGAGGCTACCCGGTGGTCCAGGATGCAAGCAGGGTAAGAAGTCACTGGATCGATATCCTAAGTTTGCGTTTGGGGCTTTCACTTCGCCCCGAGACCTAACAAAGAAATACAGAGGAGGAAATAGGTGGCAATGGCGGGTCTCTTTATGTAGCACTTGTAGGTTTCTCTACCTCGTAGAGGAAAACCAGAGTTGGACTGTCAGAGTCCTTGGGCCACAAGAGCTGGGAATGCACAGGTGGCCAGGAACCAAGGCCAGGGCACGGGGAGCACATTTCAGACCTCAGCTCACATTTCCTTGCTCTTGGGGACCTTTACCAGGCTGACATTAGCCCAGGCCCCTATTAGGTGTTTCCTGCAGTTTCTCTACTGTGACAGTCATCTCTCCTGATGCCATTGCCTGTCACAGGTCATCAACTTTGTGAAGGCAGGACGTGGCCTCGCTTACTCACTGCTGCACCCTAGTGGTCATAATTTGCAAGCAAACAGCAGCGAGTCCCCTGAAGCCTGGGCTTAATCACTGAAGGATGACCAGCAGGTGTCAAGTGGTGGAGAGGGAAGTGGCCACATCCCCTCGTCCTCATTTTAAATTCAGCTGACTGCACATGCTGGTATGGAAAGAGTCAATTCCGACTCTTGAGACCCCCTTCTCTGTGGCATCAAGACTTGGTGGCTGGGACAGGCAAGGGACACCTGAGTCTACTGGGGTGGTCTTAGTAATATACAGAAGCAGGGAAGATGATAGAATATACAGGCTGGTGCTTTTGGGCTGCTTTTCCCTCTCGCACTGGTGTGGAGGGTGTGATCAACCCTCCCCCAAGGGACTATCTTTCTTAAGCTGACAACTGGTCCCTCTGAGCTTCCTGCATGATTTCTCACGTGCTCTCAATCCTGTCCTGCCCAGCTTGCTCCAAGCCCCGGACACACCTCCCTGCTTTGCAGGTGGTAACTGGGCTCCAAGAAAGACCATTTAGGCTGCAGCATCATCTTCTCTCCATTAGAAGCAACTGGTAGGAAATTCATTCTCTTTCACACTGAGGGGGATGAGCCCAGAACGATCCAGTCATTCTGTCAGGAAGGTCAGGCTTCCATTTACTGGGCTCCATTTCCTTCAACTCTAAGGAACATCTAAGGAACATCTAAGGAACTCTAAGCGTCCGAACATAGCTACAAGCCTAGCTAAGTTCTCATTTGAAAGTGTCTTGAGAGCAAGGTCAAGGATTTGGAAAATACTTCCCTTTACCAATTCTCTCAGAGCACCCAGTGTTAACACTGCACACGGCCAGTGAGCTGTCAAAGCTGTGGGCTTACTGCCGGTTTGCATAACTTAGACATGTGTGTACCTACTTTCTGAAGGTATTACATTATTTTGTAGACTTTTAAGACGATTTTATGGAGTCAAATAAGCTCTGAACCAAACAAATCGTAGCCAGTGATGTCAGAAAAGCAGAGAATGAAAAAAGAACAGGGGTGGGGGGGCAAGCCCCCTAACAACCAAAATAGATGCTATAAAGTTCCACAGTAAGATTCACAGACGTAGCAGCAGGAACTCCCTCTAGATCCTCTCTTAGAGCTTATTTACTCCAACTTTATAAACAATTATAATGAGCTCAGACATGCTTCATTTGCAGAGAACAGCACATGAGGAAAAACACATTCAAGAATCTGTATTACTGGAAGTGGGGACATTGACACCAATATAAAGTGCCAGCTGGGAGCAAGATCAGGCAAAGAACCATACTGAGCCACGGCAATGACCCCCCAAATTGGAGTAGTTTGGAGGTACTTGACTTAGGGGCAATAATCCTACCAACCACTGGAGCTCATCCTACAAAGGTTCTCTTGGTGTAGTGAGGCCAAACGATGCTGAATGGTTCACAGAAGACAAACGACATTATGTCACATCCTCTTTTAAAGAAGGGGAAAGAATAGGATTCATTTCAGAAATATGCAAGATGGCATACAGTTTTCAATGTTTTGGAAATCAAAGAAGTCAGCTTTGATCAACAGGAACGCGAATGCATGTAGGTGCTGTTCATTTAAATATCATACCACTGGAGGGAGGATAGACACTAATGCTGAGTTGGAGCTGTAGGAGGAGAGTCTGGACTCTAGGGAGAAGGTGAGCCAGACCCTGGTGTCAGGGTGTTTCCTAACTCTAGGATTAACTCCAGATGCTGAGACCAACCTAAAATGACCTAGAGCACCAGGGAACCACCAGGCTCAGCCTGCCTTTCTCATCCACAGTAAGCAGTGTCACCCAGGGACTAGATGACCCACTCCAAAGGCCACCACTAGGCTTTTTTCCCCCTCATAGAAGCCCCCTTGCAGGTAACCCAGAAGGCAGGTTTGGGCTTGGATACCAGGTAGGTACAGACTGCGCCATATACTCTTACTCGTAAAGAAGGAAGAAACCAAAGGATCAGGACAAGCCAGTCCCTGGCTGGAAGTCAGGCAGGAAGTCTTAGGATGTATATACAAGGTAATTTCAGTCTTGGGTTTCCAATGCTTCATTTGCTGGCCTTGGATCTAAAATTTTATCAATTCTGACAGCTAAAAGAAACAGGTTTAATGACTACTTTGGAGTCATACAGGTGCAGGTATAAATTCTGACATGGGCACCTTACTCACTGTGTAGGTGTTAGACAAGTCGCACCACCTGACTGGGCCTCAGTTTCCTCATCTGCCAAATGGGAGTCATCATGGGACCAATGATACCTACCTGATAGGATTTTTTGTGAAGATTAAATAAGATTCTATACATATGACATCTAACATGGTGTCTGGCACATAGAAAATACTCAACCCATGGTAGCTATTATTATAAAAATTCACTTGATTAGGGTCTCTTGCTAGGAGGTAGAATCTGTGGTGGAAACAGGTCTCAAGTTCCTCTGCCAAAGGGCACCCTGTCTTACCTCACTGTGTCTGTTAAGTGACTGGCTTGGCCATCTGGTTAGTGTGTTGGGGAGTGCTGTGATAACCCAACTCTGGGGCTCAGGCTTTTACTCCAGCATCTCCTGAAAGTGTGCCAGATGGTGAATTTTATGAGGGCATTAGCAGAGGTCTCACCGAATCGGCCCACTGGCTTGGGAGCTCATTCTCTCCTGCGTAGGACATCCAGGCTGGGCTCCTGTAGGACGAGGGAGGCGTGGGGATGAAGTAGCCAGTGAAGCCGGGTCTGTTGGCAGCTGGGATGGCAAACACTGCCGGCACCGTGTTACCTGGCGTGGAAGAGGTGGGGGAAGAGCAGATCAGGAGAGGCTGGATTCTGGGACCCAGTGCCGCCCAGAGCCTACCATAAGGCCAGTTTCACAGGACGCCTGGCTGTCAGCTGGGCTTGAGGTCTTGTTAGATCAGATCTGATTGAGTGGCACTTGTTCTGGGCTGTGATGCTGGTGCAGCTCTATCTAAGCTACAGTGATCCCCAGCTGTGATGGCCGAGGCTCCAGGGAATGTAGTAACAGGGCAGAGGAGAGGGAACCAGGCCTTCCTTCTTTGTAGAACCCGGCTCCTTTTTAATATTTTATTTAGAGACACTGTGCAGAGCAACAGGGGGGTGCCATGCTCAGGGAACCTGGGCTAGAGGCCAAATAGGGGCTAAATCCAGCTGTGCTCTTTTGCCAGGTGTGGGGTCTGCACTCTCCTGGGGGAAGGACAGACTTTTGCTGGGCTCTGGACTTTTCCCACCATCCCATCCCCTGAAGAGGGAGTGGTAGGCCCAGCTGGCAGCCATGGGGCCTACCTCTGCTCAGACTGGAGGAAGCTGGGGAGCCAGGGGGGACTCTGGCATGGGTCCTAGCTAGAGAATGAGAGGAAAACGTTCTGGAGATAGGGTTCAGGGAAAGTAGGAAACCTCCTGCAAGACAACCCTGGTCACCTGCAGTAGGGGAGGGCAACCTCTCCTGTAACTGACAGGCTCTCTAAGCTTTAACGGCCAAACTCCCCCACTGAGCCCCTACAACTCCCTCATCCCCATCCCAACACCTGACCTGCTGGAAAGAGGAAATGACACCCCAGTGTCGGTGATTTCCTCCCAGGAGGATGCATGTTTGGGATTTATGTTGTTGTTGTTGTTGTTATCTGTTTGTTTTGTATGAGGAATTGAACCCAGGGGTGCTTAACCGCTGAGCCACATTCCCCCAACCCTTTTAAAAAATATTTTATTTAGAGACAGAATCTTGCTAAGTTGCTGAGGATGGCTTTGAACTCAGGATCCTCCTGCCTCAGCCTCCCCAGAGGCTGGGAGAATGCATGTTTCTAAAGGTCCAAGAAAAAGAATTGAAAGGAATGGACTTCACCGGTGGAATTCCTGAACGCTGTGAAGGCTTTACTAAATGTTGTCGAATGGGTGTTTGCAGTTTCAATCTAAAAGGTATGGTTTAGAATGAATTAAAACATTAACTACGTCATGTACACACCTTGATGTTCCATTTGGACTTTGCTTGTCATAGTGAAAAACTGGAAACAACACTTAATGTCCACCAAGAGGGAAAGGCTGGATTGTGGCGTATCATACACAGAACATCATATGGCAATTTAAATGAATAAGCTAGTTAGTATGTAGGTAGCAGTCTGGAGAAATCTTGCAAACAATGTTGAATCAAGAAAACAAAAATGCAAAAGGAAATGTATAGCATATCACTTATGTAAAATTAAAGTGCATGACATGAATACATACTGTTATATAGACATGTATTTGGCAAAAGATTAAAACCCACTACTTATGGTCTGCAAATACCTTGGGGAAAGGGAATTAAGAAGGGGGTGGATAGCTGTAAGCATAAATCAAATTTACTTTTTTCCTTTCTTCCTTCTCCTTCAATACTGGGAATTGGACCTAGGTGTGTTCTATCACTGAGCTGCATCCACAGCCCTTTTTAGTTTTCGTGGCAGGATTTTGCTAAGTTCCTGAGACTGACCTCCAACTTGTGAGTCTCCTGCCTCAGCATCCCCAGGTAACAGGGATCCCAGGTGTGCACCACTGAGCCCAGCTGTAATGCTTTAAACGAAACCCCTCACAGAACTGGAAAAATGTCAACATACACCCTGATTTCAAAACTTGGTGTTTTGTACAGTTTCAGATCTTTTAAGAAATAAAATCAGTAGCTCTTCTAGTCAGGATTGTGAAGTCATGAGGGGACTCAGAAATGTGGAAGCTCTGGTTCCCGAGGGGGGCAGGTGGAGGGCGGAGTAGATTTGGGGGGCCAGGATGGGGAGGGGCTCTGCAGTAGGGACCAGGGCCCTGAGCTTTCCTCCTCCTGCTCACCTGAGTAATTTAAAGCAGACTGATCCAACTGTGTCACGGACACGGGACCTCTGGACACCTGTGCAAACGAGGCGCTGTCCTGCAGCTGGGCTGGCTCAGGACCTGCGGACTCGGCCATTCGGGTCTTGCTGCCGATGTCTGAGGTGGACCTGGGTAGGGCAGAGGGCTCTGTTAGCATGGTCCCCAGACCTCAGGGGGCAGGGGGCAGCATCCCTAATACCTTTGGTAGGAGGCCATGACCTCCAAGCCCCACGGGGGTGGAGTCCTGGGGACTAGATTTGTAGGAGAAGCTCAGACTTGTAGGAGCCGTAGGGTGACCAGAGCCGGAGTACCTTTTACATATTCAAGGTCAGTTCTTCTCTAATGGTGGCTCTTGTGCCTCTGGGCAGGAGAACATTTAATTTCCGGAAAAGAAGCAAAGCAATTAGCACTGGGTGTTAGCTGGGGTTGGTCAACTTAGGAGGTGATGACATCATTGGCAGCCAATGAGAAGGCTCCATCTAGAATGTGGGGGCGGAAAGGGGGCTTCCCTTCACCGACACTAGCACAGGTGACCAGGTTGGTGACTGCAGGGTCACATTTGCTACTACGGCAGGAAGTGGGAAGCCCAAGACACTGGGAAGTTCAGGTTGCTCTCAGGAGCAAGGAAACAGCACTTTGTGAACTTTATGAAGAAAAGAACCTCCCCTCTATTTTTTGGTCCCACAGACAACCAGAGAATCAGGTCCACTTAACACATCTTATCTCAGTAGGCAAATAAGAGTGGCAGCCCGGTGGGGGGATACAGACGTCCCTCCAGCTACAGAAGGTGCATCCCCAAGGCGACTTTCCTCATCAGCAACCTGTCACCGAAGGGACTTTGGGCTCCTCTACAGTTAAATGGGAAGGAGGGAGAGGTGCCTACAGCCGGTGGCAGGCTGCCAGCCCACAGGGCCACCCGTGCAGACAGAGGAGTGGCTGTCACAGTAAGAGCAGAGAGGAGCCACTGCAGGGAGAAGGCAGGAGGCAGCTCTGGGTTCGCCTCTTCTCTAAGCCTGTTTCCTCTTTGTAAAATGAAAGGGGTGGACAACTCCGCCTCGAATGTTCTTCCTGACCTAATTCTCTGGGTTTCTGGCCGCCTGACGTTAGGCAAGGATGGCAAATGGTGCAAAAGGGTGAGGGAGGAGACGGTGGTGGAAAGAAGGACGAAGAAACAGACGTTGGCCATGGCACAGATGGTGACGTCAAGGCCCTCCAACCCAGAGCTCTGGGGATAACAGAGAAGCCCCCTCCTGTTCCCCAGGAGGGTTCGATGTGGGGGTTGCAATGATCTGATATCCAGCAGGGTGGGTGGTGGTGGCTCAGACCTCCCTCCGGCCTCCCTCCCTCCCCTGGGCTCCCACATGCTGTTCCAGACTTCTGCTACTGTTTCCAAAGCCCCATCCTAGGAAAATTACTGGGTTCTATTGCATACACTCTTCTGAGACCCCCTTCTGGGAATTCCAGAGCTTTTGAAATCATGTAGGCCATTACAGGGGCCAGAGAGGCAAGGCAACTTGCCTGGGGATACACAGCATATTCGTGGTAGATCAGGGACTGGAACCCTGCTCAGCTGCTCCCCAGCCCACCCTGGTCTCCATTGGCCCCCAGGGGTGGCATCTATACAGCTCCACATTCTTAAACCACTGGAACTGAGTCGGGATCTTTTTTGGGTGCCACTCCTATCTTCTTCAGTATTTTCAGAACCTAGGCCTGTGGTCCATAGATGAGTGTTACTAGTGTGTTGGCGAGGAGGCTGGGGAGGGAATGCCAGGGATGTGGCCCATGGGTACCCCCCAGGGCAGAACTCTGGACAGCAGGATTATCCCAACCTTTCCTAGTACTCATGGCTTTTATATTTCTTGTCCATATTTATTAAAAATGAGTGTTTCTTATATCATTATAGAGCAGAGAAAAGGTTTAACACATGCCCCATATGATCCGAGTTCTTGTGTGTTCAGCTCCTTCCTCTTAGACATCAGGAGTTGGGGGTGGGTGACCAGAGGCACTCCTCCCTGGACACCACACTTAAATAGCAGAGCCGCCGCTGAGTGTCCAGTGTGGCTGCAGGAGGCATTCAGACTTGCAGCAGCCACTGTGGCAGCCATGTTGGAGTCATTTTTTAGACGTTCAAGGTCAGGGTCTGGGCATTCAAGGTGTGGGGCAGTTGACCTTGTGTGTGTGTGTGTGTGTGTGTGTGTGTGTGTGTGTGTGTGTGTCTGACTGTAGATGAGCAAGGATTTCTATTCAGGATATTTAGCAAGTCCTGAGAGTTGGTCCACCCACCCTCCCCGGGCCCCACTTGGAGTGCCACAGATACACAGGTGTCTGAACAGGTGGGTGCCTTGAAGGCGCAGAACAGGAAAGACATTTCCTGGTGCTGCTGTCCACAGACCACACCTTCCCAAATATTCCAAACCAAGCAAAGAAAGGAGCCTCGTGTTACCGCCTGAGAGAAGCAACAGCCACGGGGCCAGTCCGGGGAGGTACAGGTGGAGGGGGAGAGCCCATGACCATCTCAGGAAGCTGGGAAAACCTGTAAGCCTGTGGAAGAGACACAAACGGAGCGAGATCCGTTAAAACCCAGGGTCAGCCTGCACGCAGGGCCCTCCTATGTAAGGAGGAAGTGAGGCTCCAAGGGCCTGACATTCCTTCCTCCCTGAACGCCTTGCCCTACCTCTCCTGCCTCATCTCTCACCACCCTCTCCTTGCTCGGGCCACTGTCTTTAAGAGCCCTTCAGTGTTCCTAGAACATAGCCAAGCTCTCAGCTCAGGGCTACCTTAGCCAAGCTCCTTCCTGCCTTGGGCTTTGCTCCCTGCTGTTCCTTCTCCTGGGGATGCTCATCTCTCAGTTCTGCCCCTGGAGAAGGTCTTTCATTTTGGCAAAGACCGCTTTTTGGTATTGTAATGTTGCTTGGTTATTTATTGCCTGACACTGGCTCGACTGTAACCTAAAGGCTGTAAGGGCAAGGGCTTTGCTGTCAGTAACATCCTCATGCCTGGAACAGTGCCTGGTAGACAGCAGGCAGTAAGTACTGGATGAATGAATGTGATTGACTTTCTCATGAAAGGCAGGTTTAGCAAAGGAAAAGCAATGGTTTGGAGGTCAGGAGGGATGTGTGGAGGTTCTGATAACTAGATTTTATTAGATCCATCTCTAGGCAAATCAGGTGAACTTCTCTGGACTCCTGTGTCCTCTTCGGAAGTGGAGACATTGATGCTCTACCCAGAGGGCAACTAAGAAGACAGGCAAGTGAGCATTTGTGCAAGGATTTTGCAATCTATAAAGTGCTATTCAAGGATAAGGGATTGAAACTCTTACCAAAGTAATGACTTTCATCCAAATTTGAGGGGATAAAAGACAGATAGGTAGAGATGGACAGAATCAGAAAGAGTCAGGCCGCCGCTTCCTTTAGCAAGAGAAAAATATAGAAAAGCTCTCTGGGAAGACAAAGCTTAAGTAGTGCTTCTCATCCATGTCTTTCTTCAGGCATCTTGCCTACCACAGCTCTCCAAAGAACAGGATGACAGGACTTGAAACCTGAAAGCATCAGCATCAAAAGCTGCAGCCCTGGGAATCCACAGCAGGATTCTTTAAGCTGAATGAGGTCTTTCCCCCTCCAGCATTATGGCAGTCTACCCACCTGGAAGGGCCACGCCAGGCAGAAGCAATGAGGCTCTGGGCAACGTGTACTTTTAAATGCACTGTGAAAACTGCAAGCTGTGAGGAACGTCTTCAACAATACCTCCTCTGTCTACCTCCTCCCCCAAACACCTCAGCAAACTAAAACAAAACCAGGAGCTGAAACCAGAGGTGGAGATAGAAAGTAGAAAGCAAATATAAAAGGGGAGATTACCCAGACGATAAATGCCACTCTGATAATCGATTAAGAGATGAAGCCTTGGAACAGGGGAAGGTCAAGGCAGCTCAACTGGGGACACTTTGGCAAGTGTCTTGGTACTTTGGCAAGTAGAAGCGATCGTAAGTCCTTTCTGAAGTTGTCTCAAAGTAGGTTCTCAGGATTAGTACAGATTAAGATGAAGCAAAGAGGAGGTCATAATCCAAGACCATAAAACAAACCAGGAGAGAAAATATGAAAGACTGTAGGGAAAAAAAATACCCAGATGTACAGGGCCTGAAGTTTCCAGATACAAAACAAGAAATAAAAATGTAAGATATGTTTTAAACAAATAATTGATCAGAGAGATGCTATCAGGAAAAACCCAGCATACATGAAAAACAATTTTTAGCTGGGTACAGTGGCACACGCCTGTAATCCCAGCAGCTCAGGAGGCTGAGGCAGGAGGATCATAAGTTCAAAGCCAGCCTTAGCAACTTAGTCAGCTCTCAAGAAACTCGGCAAGACCCTATCTCTAAATAAAATATAAAAAAAGGGCTGGGGGTGTGGCTTGGTGGTTAAGGCCCCTGGGTTCAATCCCCAGTACAAAAAGCAAAAACAAAAACACCTCCAAACCTTTCAGAAGTGATTATTGAGATAAAATATTCAATGTAGGGGAATTAAATAATAGATTAACATGGCTGAAGAGAGAATTAACAAATCTGAAAATAGGATTGTGGAAATTACTAAAAATTAAGCACAAAGAGACAGAGATAGAGAATATAAAAGATACAGAGGATAGAATGAACAGATCTAAGATGCAAATAGTTAAAGTCCTGAAGGACAAAAGTGTGGGACTGAAGGACAGGCAATATTTGAAAAACCCATGGCTCAGAATTTTCCAGAATTGATTAAATAAGTAAGTTAACACTTTTAGGAAGCACAATTATATCTCAAGCAGCATAAGCAAATTCAAACAGAACATACATCTGACTACATTATAGTGAAGTGGTAGAATACCAAAGGCCAAGAGAAAATCTTAACAGTAGACAGAGAGAAAAGGCATCCCACCCACAAAGAGATGGCAACAAGGTTGACAGATACCTTCTCATTTGCTCTCAGAAGACATGAAAGGCACAAGCGCTCAGAGAAAATCATTGTCGACCTTGAAGTGTATCAGCAATACCAACTTTTCAGTAGAAGAACAAAAGACAACAGCTGCCCAGATCTGGAAGCACTGACTGAATCAATATGGAGAACTATATTACTGAGCTGCATTTCCCTTTTTTTTTTTGAGAATCAGTCAGCTATGTATGCAAAGGCTGTTATCTGGGGAACTGTATCTTGCCTCTCCACTAGACAGACGTGTCCATCTCCTCAGGGTACCCCTTCATTACCAAAGCACCTCGAACCTGGTGGTGCTAAGTTACTGTTTTCTGAGTGCTGCTGAGTGAACCACGAATAAGGAGATCCAGGCTCTCATCTTGATTTAGCCATTCACCTTCTAAGAAAAGGTCACTCCTTCTCTCTACACCTCGTCTCTCTGTTGTTTCGTTTTGTTTTCCTTATGAAATAGGTATTGGCCTCGCTCATGGTCTCCCAAACCTATCTTCAGTCGCAAAACCATCCTGAAAGACCCTGATACAGAATGAAAGCAGAGCTTTTCTGGCTGCTGTTGGGAGGAAGTTCCCTGGTGAATCTGACCCTTCACTTATTTTCATTGTGCTCCCTGTGGGCGTCCCTGAACCCTAAAGTCACACAGACAGTTTCAAAAGCATTCTTCTGGATGCCCTTCAAGTTCTACAAGTTCCGTAATATTATCAATAAACTGACAAGTGAGGTGCTCCTTTCCCGAAATAGAGAAAGGGGCTCCCATCCCCTCTCCTCTCTTCTGGCCTCGCTGTGCTGCTCAGCAGGGGAGGCAGACAACCTATTTTTATCCCTGGTTCTTGGAAGGTTTATTCTGCAATCAACATGATTTCCCAGCCAAGAAAAAGCTTCCTCTGCCTGTCTGTCCTAGAGCAGATTAAAAGTTCTGAACCTCTGACTAGCACCAAGGGAAGGCTCTCCCAGGGAGATTTTTGCAGGAGGAAAGCAGGACACCAGAATGTCACCTTGAGGCTGTATCCTTGGACCCTTGGAGCAGCCTGGTGGGGGGTTGGGAACATAAAAACCAGAGATGCAGCCCATGCCACGTGCTCACAGCCCGGGGAATCCTCTTTATTGGGTCTTCCTACCCCCCCACCCCCACCCCCGTGTGCAGGCTCCCTGTGGTTCAAGTCCTCTCTCCTCTGCACTCGGGCTTCCTTCCTCAGGTACTTGGAATCTAGCTTCTATTGGCTGCTTTGGGACCAGGACCCCACTGGAAGCCATTACTCAAAACGATTGCCAGGTTCCAAATTCTCTGTTCCGTGACAGTGGCTGCTCAAGGACACCATCTTTTGGGATCCTTGCCTCTGACCAGGATAAAGACCAGACTCAGGTTGGAAGGCAGTCTTTGGGAATGGGTCTTCAAGGATGTAGGTGTCTGGGTGTGACTAGAATCCAGCAATCGAAGGAAGGAAGGTGAGCAGTCTGTTCAAAGTCCCAGGCCTGACTATGCTGAAGTAGAGGGTGACAGGAGTGGATCAGAACCATGTTCTCTAGTGATCTCAATGGAGAGGGAGCCCAGGCAAGACCCACTGTGTCCTCCTTGTGAATGTGCATCCACCCAGGAGGAGGGGTCTGTAGACAGAAACTTCAAGGGACGCACTTCAGGGGTGAGGCTGAAGGGCAGCCTGCCATTGAAGGAACAAGCGAAGGGATTTTGGGCTTTTGGTGGATGAAGGTAGACCCACAGGCCAAAGCCAACCCACCTTCATGAGAAGCAGTATTAGTCAGCTTTCTGTTACTATAACAAATACCTGAGATAATCAACTTATAAAAAGAAAAGGTTATTTTGGCTCACAGTTTTGGGGATTTTGGTCTATAATCAGCCCTGGTGCTTTAGGCCTATGGTAGCACATCATGACAGAATAAATGCTCACCTCATGACAGGAATTGAAAGAGAAGAAGACTGGGATCCCTCCATACCCTTCAAGGTCATACCTCCAGCAACTTAAAGACCTCCCATTAGGCCCCACCTCTTAAAGGTACCACCACCTCCCAATAGCACCATGTATGGGCACCAAACTATTAACACATGGGCCACATTCAAACTATAGTAGAAGCCCTTGTTTGATGCCAGTAAGCTAGCCCCAGGTTGGAGTGGAAGCTCCAGTCTTTCCATAGCCAGTGGCTACACTAGGCTTCATAGCAGTGTGCTGATCCCAAGTGTGCTGCTCCAGGCAGAATAACATCCACCTTGTTCAAATCCAGCTACAAGGAACTCCATATCCTGGTACAGGGGTAGAATCTTCTAGAAAAACAGTTCTTATTTAATTGAAAGCAGGGACTTGGTAATTAAAGTCTTAACACCAAGGTGGAGAAAACAAACCAACCCAGTGCTTACCTTGACAGCGACCCAAGAGCTACTGATGGAGCATTATCTGAGGTTTCTGAGGCCTCAGGGGTCAAAGAAGGTCCAAGTTGGGAAGAGAACAGGAGACACTGAGACCTCTTACCTTGACAGATGGGGATACGGAAGCTCAGAGAGGTCAACTGATCTGTTCAAAATCGTGCTGCCAGTTAAGGGGGCTGTCTTGAAAGTCTGAGCTCAGGGTTCAG